AGACGCTGTGATCTAGGAACAGTCTAGATCAGGGCTGGGGTGACCAAGCACCTGCGGGTCCTCCCCAGGAGGAAGCAAGAGGGGAGGAGGGTTAGAGAGAGGCAGGAGGGACGGAGAGGGAGGAGAGAAGAAAGGGCATTTTTAAAGATGAGAGAGCATAAAGGGAGACAGAGTGATGACAGCAGGTGCCTGCCCCGGGCACCCAGCCCCGGTGCCTCCAGAGTGAGCCAGGCCTGAAATCCTGCAGCGGCCTGGTCCCCGCAGCAGCATGGCCCCGGGCACACACTGCAGGGAGGGCTGGATCAACGGCTGCGTTCACAAGACAGGGTGCAGGTTCTTATTTCACAAGCAGGATTTCCGAGACCCCCAACCACATGGCTGCTGTTCATGCTAAGTGTGTGTGTTAGTGCATCGTGAATTTCCCACCCGACAACGCCCGAGGGAAGGAATAAAGGGCCCTGGTCATGAGCTGCTCAAGGCAAAACCCTGGTCCAGGGAAGGAGTGGAGTTGCCTGCTGTGGGGAAGCCCTCTGGCTGGAAGCCACCGTGGAGCCACTTTTAAATCAAATGCTGTAACTCCACAGAGTGACCTGTGGTTTTCATTTTTATCGTCTCCGGGATAAAGGGGCCTGCAATTACAAAGGGCCCAGAAACCACGCGCTTGCGTTCAAGGTCAGGCCGGCGGCTGATCTGACGGGGCAGCGGGTCATCACGGAGGCCAGCATTAGCGCCAGGCAGTTTTATGACCCGCGGCCCTGCCGAGTTCCCAGGCATTCAGCGCGCCCGTCACTCTCCGTGAAGTAAGTTACAGATCACAGAGCTGAGGGGCCGCCTTGCCCAGCCATCCATTCGTCTGTCCATCCTCACCTGAGCTCAGGCCCAGGGGAGCCAGAGACTCCCAGCTCACTCCTCCCCTGTGATGGGCCCAGCCCTGTGCATCCTCCAGTCCTGTCTCCGGCCCCTGCTGCTGCGGGCCCATCCTGTGGGACGGAGCCTGTAGGGACGGGGAGCTCCTTGGCCTGGAAGCCGCTCATAAATATTCCCTCATGTGACAGGACAGTGACCATACACTCCTGCTGACAAGGAGATGGACCTGTGTGATTATGTCTCCCCCAAAACAAACTTGCCTTGGGTGCCTCCCCAGGGACCCCTCTCTAAGTGGGCTGTCTGGTGACCTGGCCAAAAGGGCCTGCCAGCTGTCATGCTGCCGAGCATCAGCAAGGGGCTTTGAAAGCAGATTGGGTTACATAAATGATACCGAGCCCAAGGACTCGGCAGCCAACTGGAGGCCCCGGCTGGGTCACCCGCAGTGCAGGCTGTGCATAAGGCCTACATCTCCCATTCATGAATCCTCCCCAGAGCCAGTGTGCAGGGCAAGCATCATTGTCACCCCCCCCACACACACACACACACACTTTACAGATGAACTTAGGTACAGAGAGAAAAGGAACTCACCCAAGGGCACACAGCCTTGAGGTGGCAAAACAGAGCCCTGAAGAAGGTCTGACTACTTTGAGTTCACACTCTGACCTGCTGTCCCCCAAGCTTTCCTCGGGGCTCGGTGTCTGCTGGGGAAGCAGGACAGGGCACATGGCCATTTGACCACAAAACATGGAGAGGCACAAGCGAGGAGACAGAGCAACTTATCAGGGAGGCCACGGACAGAAGGGGCCTCGCAAGCTGGGCCCTGAGGGTGTGCAGGCGCTCAGCAAGTAGAGGCAAGGACAAGGAAGGGGGCCTCCAAGTTAGGGAGCAGCTCGGACAAAGGCTGAGGGGAGAGACGGGCTTGCAGCTGGACGCAGCAGCAGGGAGAGTGGGGTCCTGGTGGCTGGGGCACTTGCCTCCCTCCTGAAGGGCCCACAGAGACTGGCAGCACCACGGAGGTTGACAGGGTCCTTGAACATCAGAAGGCGGCGTGTGCAGGGCCAGGGGAGGCTGGGCGAGGTTGGGTAGAGTGGGGAGGGACCTGGGCTTTGTATTTTTGGCTGAGATGCCTCCCTTTTTGGTTCAAGTAGAAAGGAATTCATGAGGGGATCCAGATGCTGTCACAGGCAGCCCTCCCCCCTGTCACTGTGCCTCGAGGGTGTCCAGCCTAAGGGGTGGGGAAATGCCCCAGAGCCTCTGCTTCTACTGCCCTTGGGGGATGGAGCCTGTAGGGCAGCCCTGCACCCACCGCCCTGCAGGGCCCAGCCGCTGGAGCAGCCTTCAGGGGAACCTCCTCCCCAGACAGATTCCACGGCAGCTCCGCCAGTCCGCTCCCCCTCCACATACCCTCTGGACGTGGTCTCAGCCTTTTAATTGTAAACATAAAATACGTCTAATTTAGAGATATGTTAATACAGAAAACGTTACCAGAGATCACCTCCTTATGTCCAGTTTTGCAGTCGTTGGTTTTAATTACCTTGGTTAATTACTAGCTGTGTGACTTGGACAGGTTAGCTAACCTCTCTGCTTTGTTTCCCCAACTGTAATGGGAATAACAATCTACCTCCTAAGAAGGATGTGAGAACTAAATAGGCACACTATAGGGCAGTGATGGCGAACCTATGACACGCGTGTCAGAGGTGACACGCGAACTCATTTTTTTGGTTGATTTTTCTTTGTTAAATGGCACTTAAATATATAAAATAAATATCAAAAATATGTCTTTGTTTTACTATGGTTGCAAATATAAAAAAATTTCTATATGTGACACGGCACCAGAGTTAGGTTAGGGTTTTTCAAAATGCTGACACGCCGAGCTCAAAAGGTTCGCCATCACTGCTATAGGGCAAAGCACAACGCCCCCCGCCCCCCCCCCCCATATTGTGTTTGCTAATCAAGGACCTGGCTAGATTTTATTCCAATTAAAAATGCAAGCCCCTCCCCCAGGAGCCTCCCCCACTGATGGCATGATCCCAGGTTTGCTGCCGATCTTTCCTCTTCCTCAGGACCTTTTTTTTGGGGGGGGGGCTCTCAGCCTCCAGCAAGTCGAGTCTCCCCTTTTAAATTTCTCCTCACCCGGTGCTGGCTGGGCATTTTCCTGTTGCATTTAAACTTCAGGGTCACCTGGGCTCCGAGGGCCTGGGGCGGGACAGAGCTCGGATCTACCTGCTTCACTGTAACCTCGGTCTAGGCTCAGCAGTCTAGGCTCAGCGGTCTAGGCTCAGCGGTCTAGGCTCAGCGGGTGGAGGAGGTCACACTGGAGCCCAGCAGGGCCCCCGGCACTGCGAGTTTCCAGGACTCTGAACAGTGCCGGGACCTCTCTCTGCCCTCGCCCGGCTGGGGCGCAGAGCGAGAAGAGAGAAAGCAGGAGTGGTGAGTCCGGAGGGGATGGGGATAGAGGGGCCGAGTCCAGACCCCGAGAATAGTGAATAGGGAGAGGGGGGACCACGGGCCCACTCAGCATCTGGGATGCAGAGGGCAGAGTGCCTGGCGGCGAAGCAGGACACTGGGAGCCCTCAAGGGCCCGCCCCCGCCCCAATGGCATACGCCAAGGCTTGGGAAGGGCCCGGAGCCCGCGTGGAGCCCTCTGTGGGGTCCCAGGCCCAGGGTGAGTCACATTCCGGGACACTCCACTCTGGGCGCCTCGGTGTGCACCCGAATCTGTGTGCTGTCCTGGAGAAGGGAACCAGGCCCGCAGCGCCCCGTCCGTCTAGCGCGCCGCGGAGGCGATCCTGGCCCCAGAGTTCTCCGCACCCAGGAAGTGAGCGGAGGCCTGTTCCTGCGAAAGGAAAGCCTTGCGGCCCCAAGCACCACGGACCAGGGCGGTCGGGTGAGCCGGCTCCGCCCAGCTAGTGCGGCGGGCTGCCCCCTCGGAGAGCTTAGCGGGGAGGGCGGCTTGGTCCATCCATCACAGAGCTGAGCGGGAGGCCGCTCGGCCACAACGCTGCCACTGTCTCTCCCGCCCAGGCAGTGAGTGCCGGGCACCTCCATGACCCCCGCCCCCAGAGGCAAGCGAGTGAAAGTCCCACCTAGGGTGGGGGCAGAAGCGGGGCTGGGACCTCGAAGAAGGGCAGGGTGCATCCAAACGGACCTGCCAACCTGGCCACGCCCCCAGCCGACGGGCCACCCAGTGGCCGGGCTTGGTCAGAGTGGAGGAAACGCTGAGACTCCCTCGGTTCAAGTCCAGGGACACTGAGGCTGTCGGTCCTCGTGGTAACCGGATCCCTGCGCTGTGTGCCGAGTCCAGGGGCGCAATAACGGGCCCCATCGCCGCGTGTCCGTGAGCGTGTCCACCCACAGACACGGAACTCCAGGCCAGCCTCGTGGAAATCCGGGGCTGGGAGACCCGCGAGTCCCCCGACAAACTTAGTCTCCGAGCCCCCGCTACCGGGTGACCCGAAAACGCCGCCGGCTCCTGTCGCCTGCGCTGGCGGGACTCGACGCTGGGTGCCCAGCCCGCGCGCCCTCGTTGCCTTCTTGCGGAGCCCGCGGGCAGAGCCTGCTCGGTCACGTGCGCCGCGGCCGCAGCCCCGGCACTGACCCCGCTGGGAGAGAGGAGAGAGCGCCTGAGGGAAGGGGCGGCGCGGCGGGGCGGGGCGAGGCGGCGGGGCGGCTCGAGCGCCCGGGATTCCCAGCAGAGCCCCGCGCCCCGGGCTCCCAGTCTCCAGGTCGCCTGTCACCGGCCCCCCGCAGCCACCGCGCCCTCGGGCGCGCACGACGAGCCGGTGAGGGCCGCTCCGTGGCTTGGCGCCTTCTCCCAGCGCGGGGCGGCGCCCCGGTCCTGCACCCTCCGGCGGGACGCGCCGGACCCTTTTTCTGAGCCCGCCCGGGAGTCTCAGAAGCCCAGACCGTGGAGTTGGTGAGCTTGGAGTTCCGGCTGCGAGCGGGCTACCCCTCGCCGGTCCGCCCCGCAGGTCCGGGACTTGCCCCTAAAACTGCCCGGCTGGAAAGTGGGAAGCGCGGCCCGAGTGGCCGCACCTGCCGTGCAGGAGCTCGGGCTGCGGGAGGTGCAAAGCTGCCGTGACGACCTCAAGGCCCGTCCCTCTTCCCCGCAGGTCAAGGCCAACTCCGGGAAGATGTACCCGAGCCTGGCATTGGCCCCAAGCCCCGGCCAGGCTACCTACGCAGACTCGGGAGCCTTTCTGCACGCACCAGGCGCCGGCTCCCCGGTAATCGTGCCGCCGGCGCGCGTCCCCTCTATGCTGCCCTACCTAACCGGCGTGCGAGCCCGGCCCGCAGCCCTCCGCGCTCGCCGC